AGAGTTTTTTCTTTAGAAAATTACTATAAAAGAAAATTTTCTGAAATTTTGAGGATCAGCGGAAAGAGTTTTTTTTTATATACTGTATATAAAGTTTATTATATAATATATAAATTATGCTTTTTTATTTATTATCAATTTTTATAAGTATTGAGACTAAAGTAAAAAAATATAAAAATAAAATCAAGTTAAAAAAATTATTATTAAAAATTTATTTTTTAACATATTTAAATTTATTTATTTATTTTTTTAATCATTTATTTTTTTTTTATTTTTTTTTCTATAAATCAAATTTTTTTATATTATAATTAATATAAGAGATTTTTAAGATTGATAGTATTAATAAATTTTAATATATTAAATTTTATAATAAATAGTAATAAATCAATCTATAGATATAAATCGATATACTTTAAATAATATCAATTTTCAATAAAATTAATATAATATAACTATTAATTTTTTAATCTTTTATATAATTTATAATATTATTTGCAATATTGATAAAAAAAAATACCTATATAGTATTATATAATACAATATTATTTTTTATTTTAATTAAATTAAACTTAAATTGAGGTATTTAAAATAGTCAATCCTTTATGCTATAATTAATATGAAAATAAAATTTATTTCAATTATTATTAAATATAATTTTTTATTAATAAAAGTATAGTATTAAAAAATATTTTTGATATTTTTGTAAAATATGATTATCAGTTGTTTTCAGATTTCAGTAATAAATATACTAGAAAAAACATGTTTATATCAAATTAGATATTTCTTGAAAGAAAAATTTTCTTGATTTTTTAGTTTTTTTTTAGAGACAAACTTTTTATATTTTTCAAATATAATAAATTTTACTTAAAATAAGTTGTGAAAAAAGTTTTATGTATTATAATTTAATGTTTTAATTACGAATCTTAATATCATTTTTTTATAAAGTTTTTTAAATGCTGTATGCATGTATACAGTATATAATAGATATTTTAAAGAATCCAACGATATTAACAATATTAATAATCATTAATTGACTAAGTTCAAGCCAACCCTTTAAAATTTGATTATTTGCTTCACATAAATAAATCACACTGTGTGTTTATTGTTCTCTAAGACAATATTTCCCTTAAATCATCCAAAGTGCGAATTAATGTTTTCCTAAATAGGGAACTATCGGTCTCCTTGCATTTCAAGTAACTACTGATGCTAAACTTGATTTTGTCTTGATTAATTACATAACAAATACCATATCCATCTGGAACCACCGCCCCGAACCCGCAATGAAAATTTAATCCTGGGCTCATGTTCGAAGAGGAGATTTTAAAATTCAATGATTGGTAATAAGATGGGTCATTAAATAACGTTGCTTTAGATTTCTCTTCTTCAGAGCGTAGTTGGGTGCGAAGCCCTAAAAGATGTCGGTCTACACCCTTACCTATTCACAAAAACTCATTAGCATGAGTGATTAATGTTATAAATATTACTGTAAATTAGAGATTACGGGTTCTTACCGTTCGTAGCAGCTATCATATATTCAACATGTGATTTAACAGCCTTTGTGAGTAATTCTATTTTCTTCACTTTCTAAGCAGATAAAGAACATGGTAAAGTGAGTGCAAATGATGATGCAAATATATATATATATCTATAATAATTATAGCTCACATCGACATCCTTATCGTCAAAAGCTTTAGTAAATGCTAAGGTATCGACCGAACAAGTTCTCACTGTTTCCGTACGACCATGCAAAAATTTTCTCGTCGAAGCTGATTCATAAGTTGGACACGGTTCTCCATAAAGTCGATAATAAGCAAGTTGCATTGCCATTTGGACGAATGCATCAGGACTAATTTTAACTGCGGCAAATTGAAAATAAATAAATAACCAAATATAATAACAATAAATTGAATAATAAATATTATTGACAGTTAACCAACCACTCTTGAGCCAATTAGATCCGTACTCTTGGTAATGTAATAAAACACTATCAACATTTGAAATCGCAGATTGGATATTGGTTTTTGCTTTCTCTATGATGGAATGAATGTTGTGGTCAATGGTCCATTTCAAATATTGAGGTTCTGCTAGAGGAACAGTTGAGGCGTTCGGAGGGTCTTCTGCTGGCTCACTTTCATTATTAAAAGAAGAAAAGTATTTAGTGTGGTTTCTCGAGATAATATTAAAAAGAAATACAATTGTTTACTTTTCTAAAATTTCATCAAATATGCGACCAGGAATTACCGCATCGGAGGGAGAATGCTGTAAACATAGAAATTTTGAGTCATAAAAATATCAGAAAGCGGCAACCTTGTTCAAAAAGATTGTTCGATAATTTATAAATACCTCGCCATTAACACCCCCACGTCCGTTGTTTTGTATAATTATTTGATAAGCTTTGTCGAACCATCGGTTATGCCCATTGAATGCGTGAAAAATATTATGATGAGAGATATCAATATCAGTGCTAACCGAGTAATCATCTAACGCAACAGCAAGCAATGATGTATCAATTGCTTCAAAATTGATTTTATTTGCATGCACGGATTCAAGCTTCTTACGAGCCTGTGTATTGAGAAAAGATCTTATTTCAGTAATTGCATATAAAAACCTGTCACGTGATCTTTAAGAAGTTTGAAATTATGCCTCGGCCCATGTGTCACGATGTTCGCCGGTCAATAATCCAATTGGTGGCTGTAATTCGGTAGCATTATTCACTTGTTCAATCACCGATTGTAATTGCCTTTAATTTTAGTATCTTCTTTAATATTGAACTAAATAAACTAAATAAAAAAAAAAGAAAGAAATAACAATAATACCTCTTTATATCATTAATCCGAACCCTTTCCCCTCCTTCGCCCAAAATTTGAACTTTGAATATTTGGTCTCTAAAGATTACGATAATATGTTTGGCGTTAGCCGGCCAGCATGTCACAGTTCGATCGGCTGGAATATCTGCGATGCGATAAGCACCAAATTGCTTCTTGTATTGATCCATGCATAGTGGCCCTTGACGAGTCGACTCTGGCGGTAATAATTCGCTAAATAAGAAATTTCTTTTAAAAAATGCTTCAAAACAAAATATAAAATTGCAAATAATCGAACATACCTGTTAATTATGTCATTGAAATTCAATAGATTATTTATAATCCAAGCGGCTCTGTCAATTTGTAGTTCTGACACTTGACCTCTCGGTGGAGGAGTTTCAAGGATTCCTGTTTTTGGATCATCGAACTCCAACCACCAATTAACGTTGATAAGCGTGGGCTCCCTCCATTCAAGATATGCTTTGTTCAACCAGATAGTTTCGATCCAATTATTCTGTGTACATGCATGAATTAAATTGATTTAACTTATCGTGATAGACTTTAGAGCCAACCTCACAGTCAACTTTCTACATTTTTCGTACCGGTTCGATTTTATCTAGTTCATGAAGTCTTTTCTGCAGAATTTCAGCTAAACCGCCTTCTTTCATAAATTCATCTACAGCTGCTACAGCTTTATTATAATCTTGAGTCGATAATAATGGAATCAACGATTTCTTATAACGTTCGGCAGTTTCTTGGAGTGTAGGAATGGGTAAACGCGGAAGAACATTTTGATTTGAAAATGTTTTTGGTTTATCTGCATCAGTGCCTGTTTGTGATGCGTATCTTTGAAAAAAATTCATTTTTCTCGGCCTATTTCGCGCGTAAAAATCATGAATTTAATGGAAATGCAAAAATTTTTGGAATTCAGGAAACAGGGCATGATCGTACCGAAAGTTTCTGGCGCTCCGTTTTACAGTAATTGAGGAAAACGCTTGTACGAGTGGATAGGATGAACGAGAAACCATCCGAACGCAGGTCATGATGCTCTTCGGGGAAGATTAACTCTGAGTACCGATATAGGCTGAGATATATATAGCCTTTTCTAGTGGATGCAGGTACAAAAACCTGATTTAGACAATCTCTTTTGTAATGATCGTATTTTTTTTTTTTGTTTAAGCGAAAAACGCTACTTTTAACAACAAATTATAGTTAAGGATAAATCCCGTACACCTTTACGTCCTGTCTCGAGAAAACATAATTAAATGTCATAAACATATATAAACACCAATTTGATTATTCTTAATAACTGAACCAATTTTTTATATGGCTTTATAATGGCTCTAGAATCAATTTTTGTGATGCCATTCAGATGTTGCACGGTGATACGGATAACTAAAATTAATTTGGTATTTTTTTCTTGTTATAAGAACCGTGGAGTTAATAAACATACAAAAATAGGTTTGCTGCGAAGCGTAGCGAAGGACTTTTATGGATAAGTAAAAGTCACACAAAAAGTTTAGAATAATTAAATCCAAAATAGATCTGTGGATTTATAGAATAGTGTTAGTGCTTCCAGGCCTCTAATATTATCAGGGGTTGGCCTTATTTTTATAATTAATTTTTTTTCCGCATTACCCGTAGCCAGGCGAGATTGCTTCAAAAAAATACAAACTAACTTGTTATGGGCATAAATAAAGCCTTTAAGTTTGACCTTGGGACAATATTTTGTTTCTTGATGGACTTTGGATAAATACTTTTCTAGTTTATACATCATTGTTAGCATATCAAGTCACTAAAGTATGAGAAACTGGATTAAAAAAAAAGAAGTATTTATATCAAAAATACTTAAATATGATACAAACAAAAAAAATAATAATAATAAAATTATTCAGTTATTTCAAAGATTCATTTTTTAAAATCTTTTTTCAATAAAAAATATTATATGGAGATAGCTTTTTTTTTTTATTATCTATGGTCAAGTCAATATAATATATTTATTAATCTTTAATAAAATCAATAGAGATATATTGAACAATTATATTATGACTAAATTAAATTTCATGCTAATTTACTTGTCAATAGCTTTCAATTCTCAAATAAGCTTAAGCCTCTAATTCCAATCTTGAAAACAATATATTACTCTAAAATAAGTTTTGTGTAAATATTTTCCTAACTTATCTATTATTACCAATAGGTTATTACTATATATTATCTATTTTCCTAACTTATCTATTATTACCAATAGGTTATTACTATATATTATCTTTCAAAAAACTGATTTTAAAAAATTACAATAAGGAAAAGAAAAAATAGAAGAAAGAGAAATATTTAAATATATATATATATATATATATATATAAAGAAAAAAAAAAAGAAATTAAAAATACTTCATGTTTTTCAAAGAACCTTTATTAGAAATCTCTTTTCATTAGGAGTCGATTTTTTTAAATTATATATTTTTTTTTATTATTTAAGAAACTTATTCATCTTTAATCTTGATTCTTTTCATGTAATTGTCTAACTTATCACCTACTTGAATTCAATGTTTTGCATATCACTTCCTTTTTTTCAATATTCTATACACATTCTAATTATGGCTTATAATAAACTTTAAGTATTATATAAATATAGCTTTTTTTTTTTAGTTATTTAAAAAACTTATTTATTTTGATTTAATATTTTAATTATATTATCTAATCTATTAAACTATTGTTTTTTAATAATCATAATATTATAGTTTAGTTTAAAAGATTATTATTATAAAATTTAATTATAAAAATTATTATTATTATTATTTTTAAATTACAACTGATATTAGATACGAGCATTTTTATTAAGAATTAACTTAATATCTTAGATAATGAAATCCTATATATCATATCAATTATCTCAAATAAACTATATATTTCTATATACATGTAAATTAATGATAACCTATTACGGTTTTCTCTAGATGGACCTGCTACTACTCTATAAGTGAGGCAGGTCCAGCTAGGGGCTGGATGGTCAAATAAATAGTCATAGACAGCAAAACAAGCTAATCTAACAGTGAGCTTTTATAAATTTTTGTATTATATTCACTAAACTAGGCTATATAGTATGTACCCAACAGGATTTAATTTTACTCTCCAATACTTCCAGATATATTATTCGCTCAAACCTCAGAAGGAAGCACTTTATCTTCTTTGTCACCATCTGTGGTATTGAATCAGTCCTATTTGACTGATTTTTATTTAAACAGAGTATCATATTGTGATATGCTGAGCTAGAAGGGTGAGAATCCTGGAGACTACCAGGGCAAGGGATCTGTAAAGCATTTATGGTAAGTTAGATCAGAAGCCTTTTTTCATGCAATCCTTCCAGTAGCACGACCATAAATCTCAGTCTCTGATCAATGGAAGGCCAGAAGTCCTATCTTCATACAGCCTGACCTAATTGAAACTTGTTCTGGATGATTGGGTATGACTTTCACAAGATAACCAGTAAATCTGATCAGAAGAATAATTTTGATTTTGATTTTTGATCCTTAAGTGGTATTGAATTACAGACCTTGTGATTGTGACCTGGGAGCACTACCACTGGGCTATTGATCTACAGGTCTAATTATAAAAATTATTATTATTACTAAAATTGATTAATCTATAGTATCAATAATATAATAATCATAGTGATTAATTTATAGAATAATCATATTTTACTATTAATTGATCAGTGCATATAATAATATTAAATATCATCTCATTATCATCACATGATTTCATAATAAAAGATAAATTAAATTGATATTGAAATTTGAAAACTTATAACTTTGCTAATATTGATTTGATCAAGATTTTTTTTGAGTATTTGTATACATTATTAATAGAAGGACTACACTATTTAAAAAATATGAGGAATCTACTAAGCTAGTTTGAACTAAACAAAACTAAGTTTAAACTAGATACTCTAAGTTAGTTTTAAGAAATAATATTATATTTTTCTAGTAACTTGACATAGTATCTTTAAGTTAATCAAGATTATTGTCAATAGTTTGTTACTATTGATTATTTTAAAAAATGATGAATTGGTAAAGTATGGTACTAGAAAAAGAAAAAAAAAAATACAATTCAAAACCTTTCAAAAGGTTCTGGTTTCATTTTACAGTTTCCTCTCAAAAGAAATTGCCTAATTAGAATATCTTCTAAGTTTTATGATATTTAAGAAACTTAATCATTTCTGAAAGTAACTTTAAGAATAATATTTAAAAACCTTATCTTTTGCCAATATACGAATTCACCTAATGCTACTGGAATCATATTACATTATAGAAGAGTTTGTTTAATCAGAAATAAAAAATCTTGTCAAAAACTTTGTTTAACTGGAATAGAAGCTTGTAGACCTCAGTTTTTGTCCAAGAAAGTTGTTTCACCACTTAAGGAACTTAATAATAGGTGGAAGTTAGATCTGTTTACCTATTTATTACTCATATTTTAGTATTATAATTGTTTTCTGGAAGTCAAATATATATAGTTGAAGGGACACTTTTTCTAAAACTTTTTTTTCTACATTATCAATGATATAAAGAAATATATAAATATGATTAATAGAAACTTATTTATATTTTAAAAACTAATATGTTTTATATCAACCAATTACCTTTGGTGAGAATTTGTATTATCCAAAATTCATGATCAAACTAAAGTAGATAAAATCCTTCAGAAAACTGTGAAAGTGTGAGCTATAAGAGGATCAAGACAATTTAAAAGAGAGAAAATAAATCTTTTGACTGTAACAAATCTCTATAAATCTCTTGCCTCAAAAATTAAAAAGATTTTTGGATACTTCATTTTTCTTAACCACTGGGAGTCAAGTTTTTGAGTAAAGAAATTTGTAAACAATAAGAAAAGTAGTAGTAACTTTTAAAATAATATTTCAAATTGTTTTAAGAAAAGTATTAAAACTTTATTATTAAAAAAATGTAAAAAATTTTTGTAAACATCTTTTTTGTATGTAGTTAGAGGATCAGTAAAAATTATTTTTTTTAGTATAAAATATATATTTAACTTGTATTATTAAAAAACTAAATACAAAATTTATAATATTACATTTTAAAAATTTTTTTCCTGGTGTTAAACTGCAACTAATATTAGATGTGAGACTTTATTTGACAATTTAATTTCACTATCATTACATCAAACATCTCTGCATATGCAGATTAATACTAACCTAATATAACAATCCTAAATAGACCTACTATCACTTTGAAAGTGGACACATCTAGCTAGTAACCAGATGATTAATATACAGTCATAAACAGAGATACTTAAGCTAATTAGTATGATGCTCATATGACTTTTTTCTAATTGTAATTTACTAAGCTAGATCTGTTAGATATACTCGATAAGATGTATATACCTTTCAATATTCTCAGATATTATTTACTCAAACCTTGAAAGGGGGTATGTTACCTTCTTTATTACTACCTATGGCATTGAATCAGTTCTTATTAACTGATTTTTAATTAAGCAGAGCATTAGATTAAAATATCCTGAGTTAGAAGAGCGAGGGTTCTGGAGGCTACCGAAGTAGAGTGGGCTAGGGACTTTTGTATAAGAGATTAGATCAGAAGCCTTATTTCATGCAGTCTTTTCAGTAATACAATCTTAAGTTTCAATCCCTGATTGATGGAAGATCAGAAGTCTTATCTTTATGCAGCCTAACCTGTTTTAAGCTGGTTTCAGATAATTGAATATGACTTTAATAAGATAACTGATAAACCTGATTAGAAGGATAATTTCTATTTTTGATCCTTAAGTGGTATTGAACTACAGATCTTGTGATTGTGACCTGGGAGTACTATGACAATACTATTGATCCATAGATTTTACATTTTAAAATTTTTTTTTAATTTCAAAAGGCTTTAAATATATCAAAAAATAAAAAAATCAGCTTGTCGATTAA